CCACCCTTGTGAACCCTGAATAATTTATAAATTATTTTTATTTTCATATTTTACACCACCCTTCACCCACATTTCTTTCATGCATCTCCCTAGGAGGGGTGTTGTAAGTCAATCATTGCAATCAGTTCCCCCTTTCTCCCCCTTCTCCCTCCACCTTCCCCCTACCCTCATGGTATCACTACCCTCATGACTGGTCCTGAGGGGTTTATAGATCCTGGATTCTGTGTGCCGAGAGCTCTTATCTGTACCAGTGTACATGCTCTGGTCTAGCCAGATAGAACTGGGGTCATGATAGGGAGAGGGAGGAAGCATTAAAGAGCTAGAGGGAGTGACCCAGGGAAGATGGTGTCAGGTTAATTTTCCCGCCCGGAGCTCCTGCTCTGCCAGACCAGAAATTAAGAGGAGAGAAAGACAGAGACCAGGCTCAACCCAAGGTGTGCCAAGACATGAATACAACATACTGGCATCTATCAGGGAACCAATAGAGAGGTCTGTGGGACCCTCCCCACCCCTGGAAGAGTGCACTTCAAAGTGTTCTTGCTATGAGGGAGGACTTGAGTAGAGGCCCAGTGTCCATCTGCTACCTTAGTACTTAACCTATAAATACGTGTATATAAACCTATATCCCTATTGCCATATAAAATATTAATTTTAAAAACTAAAAATAAAACTATAATTTCTCTATAAATCTATACAGAAATGATTTCTTCACAGTACAGGACTATACAGAGAATCTGTTGACTTTAACCATGCTTATAAAAAAACTATATATCCCAAAATTGCTTTTAAAAAAAATACATGATTGCTTAAAAGCAGATACCTATTAAGTTGTCTGGCTTTTTTTTCTCATGCTCCGAGTATAAAAGTAGATTTTATCACCTAAAACAGAGGTAAATAATTATCTCCTAATAACTGCAGCAAAGGTTAAAGTAACTCTCTCTCCTAGCCTAGAAGTGGGAACACAATGAGAAGAAAGTCAAAAGGTTGATCTCAAAAATGTAGGAAA